GTAATTTCACGATGGCACTTTGTTCCTTTGGAGGGGTAAGTGATCACTGCGGTGCCACCGCATGGGCTCCGCACGAAACAGGAATGGTTCCTTTATTATCCTGCGAGAATGATATGACTGAATGGTTGAAGCAAAAGTACAAGGGGTCAGGTGCATCCGGGACAAGAGGAAGACCTGGTCATACCAAACGTACAGGTGATTCAAAATATCTGTTAGGGGTCATACACGCGCACAAATGGCTTTTATCGCGATCCAGTGGACTCTTTTCTATTGAAGAGAGACCACGATATTTTACGATATTGTCGTCTCAAATTGTTTTCTTATGACTGATTGAAGATTTCACGAGGTAATTTACTTGATTCTTGCGAAGAGTAACAAACATTCAACAAATTGTTCACAGGAAGGGCAAAGGGGTTGACTAAAATTCTAACTTTGAAAGGTAAGAGCGCAGTTATTTTATTGCAGCAATCTCTATAACCAAAAACAACGATAAGAATAACTTGAAGTTGAAGGCTGTTTTTCGTCTGCTCGTTCTGTTTGTTTACATTCAGCTTTACCTGTGCAGATGCTTATCACGCAATCACAATTCGAGCGTGAAACTCTACCGGTTTCCTATATTTGCCAGTTTCGTCTAAGATAAGTGAACTTGAAAAATCTTTGCAAACATGCTGCATCGAAGCTTTTCGATGAAATTGACATTTTGAGCGAGAAAATGTCTTGTTTCACGGATAACTTTCTTGGTAACAAAAATTATTCGGATACATTTTTTTAATTACTTATAATTAGTTATTTTAGTATGTAAATAGAGGCGGTATAATTTTAGGAATCTTATACCCAGTTTAAAACCTATCTCAAATTTATCATTGTATTCTGAATCTCGACTAATTGATTAAACGTTTTTTTCTACAAAAATAGATGAATCACGATAAAAAGAAACTACATGTGATTTTGAGACGGTATTACGACTTGATAATGACACCATGGTATACGTAGAGAATGTTTTCCCGTATATGGACTCTCTGCTTCGCAACGTTAAGAAGTCCTTATATTGTCTCAAAATCTGCCGAATTAGTTTGTGTTATGGGATTTGCTTGGAAGATCTAAACTAATTAAACTGCGTGCTAATGCATAGGCAATGAGTTCACGTGTGTCCTTGAATGGGAACTGATCCTGAATCGTTCCGGAAGAGCAATTGACCAGGTAGATGTTGGAAGGATGACCGTGTGCCCAAAACATCGGTTTCAACTTACTACGCTTTATAAAGCAAAGGTAATGAATAGAGATTTTTAAGGGATTGATCGATGCGCGAGTCTTATCTGGCATTATAACATACCACAGGACACCCACCTTTTTAGGCAGGCCCTTTGAGGGTTCAGTTCATAGAAATACAGCTAAAAATCCCAGGTTACAACCCTGTCATTTCCGAGCAGAGCTGATTGTTCTTTATCGCGCAAATTACGTTTGGTTGTTGTTGGTTTTTTTTAGTTGCAGGCTCGTAATGAAACATCTCTTCCCTAGTGATGCTAATGCATTACTCACCTAACACTTTCTTCACTCAAGCTTTTCCCTAGCTCCCTTTTTTCTAGCTCTCTACCTGTGTGTGTATGTGGGAGGGGGTAGTGGGTGGAGGGGGACACATGCCAGTGAAATCGTTACACCCCTCAATCCTGAATTACATTTGTTAGACACGGTAAGTTGTTAACTTGCGAATTGTGCTGTAGGATAAATGTTGTCATCCATGCCATGAAGAAAAAGCACCATCGCGTGTAAAAAAGGTGTCTAAAGCATTCACCCGCAAGAGGCGTGTGAGCAAATTCATGGCGGAGAGAATCTACAGGAACACTGGCGTTGTCGTTGCTATAGGCTCTGGTAAATATATACTGTATCTATGTTTTCTTATTTCTGTCCATGATACCCAGGGGTGGCACTGTTCTTCCAAGAAAATTCGGATCAGTATTTGTTTCTGGGCAACCGAGCTCGATATCGATTTGTCGTACTCGATTACCATTCCTGCTCGATAAGCAAACGACGTTTGATAATCGAGCTCGATAACTACAAGTCAAGCTCGATTGCTAATCGAGTACGATTACTAATTGAGCTCGATTAGTTATCGAGCTCGATAACTAATCGAGCTCGGTTACAGTACTAACGAGAAAGAGGATCAATATTTGTTTCTGGGCAACCGAGCTCGAAATAGGTGACTCGAGCTCGAAAGCCTATCCGAGCTCGAGTCACAACTCGACTAGAAGGATCCTGAGCAACCGAGCTCGATATAAGTGACTCGAGCTCGAAAGCCTACCCGAGCTCGAGGGATCACTCACGGTTTCTGGGAAACCACTCGATTTTAAATCGTCACGATTTATAAGTCACTCGATAAACGATTTTCAACGAGACTCGTTTGTTCGAGAGAATCGAAACGAGTCAAAGCGAGGCTCGTTTCACGAAACGAGACTCGTTTGACACAACGAGACTCATTTGACGAAACGAGACTCATTTGACGAAACGAGACTCGTTTGAAGAAACGAGACTCGTTTGACGAAACGAGATTCGTTCGGCAAACGTCGGCTCTCGGCGCATGCGTAGATGTCTAATTTTTTTTCCCAAGGTTGTTGTAGGGAAGGTTAGCGCTGAGATATTCGTACACTCACGTTAAGGTAAGTTCTATTTTCTATGTCTTGGTATGGTAAACGGGTAGGGAAGGCCTTAACCAATATTATTATTGGCTGGTGGCATATATTTCAGCACATAGAAAAAAGCATTGAATATGTGTATCGAATAAAGTTCAAAGCTTCCAGGCCCAATACTAAAGTTACTTCATTCCTCCACAACGAGGGATGGCAGAAATTATAACCATCTCAAAGATATAAATTTTGAAAAATAAAGGTCAAATGTTCCTGAAACTTCATGTGTCAATGCAAGGAATATTTTATCATACTGTGCTGTTTTAGTTTTTTTTTTCTTGAATGAAGACTGTATTTATAGGATATTCGATCTTAAAGACATGAATGATAATTTCTTTCTTAAAATGAGTTTTTCCTCGTAAACCATCTTTTTATCTCAGGGATATAATCAAAATAAATACAAATTAAAATGAGAAATCTAACTTCGCTACAAAAAAATGTTCTTAAATGTTAATGTTTCAGAAAATTTTCTAGATTATTACAGAGATGAGATTGCTTCGGTTGGTCTTGGATCACCAATCTTTCTATCACGACGCAGAAAAAAGGATGGTTTTAGAAAGAGAGCTTTGATTTATAAAATGATTTTGTTAGAGTTTTTAAGAAACAAATAATGAGGGGAATATATTTGGTTAATGACCATGATGACCAAAACAAAAATTGTTATTATCTGTAGCATATTTATTATAGCTCAATGATCTCTTTGCCTCTGGAAAATGTTGTCAAATATACCAAACAACTAATACATGTTGGAAAACTTGATATCATTTATTCTCATCATATTTACAAAGAAAACTTTATGACAGGAATGAAAAGAAAACTTAAGGCTAAGTACAAGGCACTGCACAGTCACTAAAGGCTAATTGTTGCTCTCATTTACAACTTCTACTCTTTCACTAGTTTCTTTGTTGCCTTCTTGCAGAGATGCAATATTTTTCTTCTTTCTTCTCTCCCGTGTCTTCTTCTTTTTCTTCTTTTCTAGTTCTGTGGGTATAGTAAGAAGAAATTGTTGTGGTGAGTTGTTTATAGGGTTTTGCTATTGGTCATCTGGGAGTGGAATTTCCCATTTTGGAATGCTTTGAGCAAATTAGAAAGCTGAAGAAATTCACTAGCCACGACACTTAATAAATTGTGTTTGTCAAATCGTACCCTCACTTAAAGTCTTGTTCTCCTCAACCTTATCTCTGTGCTCTCCCTTGTCCTTGTCATCTTTAAAGGTAAAGAAAAAGGCCTTGATTTTTTTAATGTTGCAGTTCACAGGCAAATTTCCTTTATGCTTATGAGTCTAGAAAAATATAACTTTATAGGGGGTTGTTACTTTATTTCAAGTTTGCTATATTTAGAAGTGCAGAAACAAACTTGGCAAAGAAAGAATTTGTCCTAATGCTTCGTTTCATCTTGCAAGTATAGCATCTCCTAAACAAAGGGTGAGACAAGATGAGACGACCGTTTTAAACATTTGCCGGGATTCGTTAATATCCGAGCTGTCTCGGGAAAAAAAAAGGAAAACGAAATGGAAAATGAAGAAGTGACAAGGGAATCATACATCCTTTCGAACTACACTTAATTTACATTTTATCAATTGAAAACGGGGCGTCAACCGTAGCCCACCTGCGCGGTGCCTGTCGTTCACGAGGAACAAATTTCGATCAGATGATCACTAAAGCGCTTATGTTGAGGCTGTTTTGGTTTTGGTTTCGTTTTGTTTCTTTTTTGTGTGTTTGTTTTATTTTCCTAAATCAAACATATCAAGTTGGAGATTAAATAAGATTGATTTTAACTGACCATAATTATGGTTATATTGCTGAGCTTCTTAGTCGCATTTTAGAGGATAATGTTCTCTCGCGTAAAAGTCTCCATCTACTTCGTCAAAATTAATCTTTTACCGGAATACTACAAAACGAAGACTAAAATATTTGAGGCCTCAACACTTGATCTATAATTACTTTCATGCGAAATCTAGTAGACAAATTCTCCTCCCTACCATCGAAATCCGTCCACGCGGGCATCGGTTCGTTGAACCATTATCATGTCTTGGTTGTACACGCCGCAGTGCAATGGATTGGCCAATAATCCCCGGTTTTGAAACCATCGGATTATCCTTGAAGGGTTCGCGCGCTTTGAATTACTAAAATAGAGGAGATCCATGTTGCACACGAAATAACAAAATCAATCAGCCAAGGAGCGCGATAACAGACTATCAACCGCTATATTCGAACATGTCTACTACACCTTTGTTTGTCGTCATTGGTCGATTTGGTGCACTGTCATTCGTGCGTTTCGCTCCTCATTATTTTTCCAACTAGTACATGTTGTTTCCTCTTAAGTTCTCTTTGTTGTTGACCGTACTGTTTCATCAGCCTAAAAAAATTCAGCAAGGTATAAGTCAGTATACAGTCAAATGTCTCCTCAAAACGCTCCGCGTACTCATCGCGCAGAAGCCGCGACACACCCAGGTACCTTTTAATTCCATCTGCGGTAAATTTGAACCGTCCTCCAAGAAAAGAGAGCGAAAAAATAGAGAAAATGGCTATAAATCGCCCACTTGCGCCTGCGTTTTTCACTCTTGATAAAAAACTAATTGCCTCAGCTATTTGCCGGCATATGGGTTTTGTAGAAGAGGTTTCAATGAACAAATTAATACTAAAGTTTGTTTTCTGCGGTTTCTATAACCATTATCGAAACCGCTTTGAAAATTAGAAATTTTAGATGCATTTGAGTATGGAAGCTGATCTCCAGGTTGAAAAATCCGATGAAGTATTCGCGAAACTTCAGAGTCAGCATATGGAAAAGTAACTTCCATTTCTCAGAAGGGCTTGTGAAAATTTTCTCTGCCGTACGAGGCTTAGAAGTACCATCAAAACCGATTTTTTTGAAGCAACCTTTGGCCACCCTAAATTTTACGTCGAGAAGCACGGTTCACCGATTTTTAAAACTCCCGCGAGTGTATTAATATATGCAAAACTCCGCCTCTGTAAACAATAGCGCGCAAGCCACTGCAACTAAGCAGTGAAATTGACAACTGCACTGACTATACTGCCTTTCGCAAGCTTTACAATTGACAGAATTCGGAAACGTAACCATTGGCAACGTTTATCACACCAGGTAAATCGTAACACTCTTCGTTTGCTGCAGTAACAGTAACAACAAGATCTTCTTAAAAATTTAGATTTTTGCCATGTAGACCATTGAGGAAAAAAGAGCGGCAGCCATGATACAGAAGAATAAACTGAAACTATAACTGTTACACTATATCAAGGTAAACATCTGTAGCAGCTTGTTCCGATGAAATTTCTCGCAGAGAATTCATCTCCTTTTTACAATCGGACGAACGTCACCCACCTGATCAAATATTATTCCTCTTAGCCTCTCCACCTCTTGCTTCAGCAGCACCTGGTGACTTTCTTGGTACTGTTTATCGTGTTCCGCCTCCTCTTCAAGCGCGTAAAAATTGTGGCACCCCTTTACTGTACATTTTACCACACGTTGTGGACAATCGCCAAGGTGCAGGTGGATATGCGATCTGTAAACATGAACAAATGAGTTAAATGCATCAATAAAGACTTTGAACAAACAGTCTGCTCAACTAAATATCAAGCCATTACAGTTACAAGATTGGGTAGTAATCCTTTTCCTAGTGTTCATACATTGTAAAGCAGACAAGCGATGCACCACAATAAAATCATCATCGCGCGGATTTTTATTTGATAACACATCAAATTCCAGAAGAAGTAAACAAAGAAATGACCAGGAACTTGAGTTGTGTTGTCAAATAATGCAATCGTCACCCGAAAAAAAAAACTTACAGACTAAACAAAGAAGACCTCGACTACAAAGAAATCTATCATATAGTCAGAATTAAAATATGTTTGAGAAGCGAACCTAAAAGCTTTGTTCCTTTCTAACAACAAAGGGAAGCGTATTTCGTTTCTATAACAAAAAATAAAGCACATGGACGTTGCGTAAGCTGCTCCAAACCGTAATAAATAAATTTCGATTATCGTGTGCTACGATTTAGTAAAAAGTCAAGCGAGTAACATGCAAATAAAGTTCTGCTGTATCTATTTGCAAACTTCGTAACAAATAACTTACTACCTTGCGTATGGTAAGTGTGGTTTTTTTTTTAACAATATTCTATTGTTTAAGCTTGTGACTGTTTTTTTTTTAACAATAGTAGTCTGATAGTATCATTTCCCTTTCGGTGTAGGACTCAGTTCACTTTAGAACTACTTAACGATTTTTCTCGCTAGTATAAAACTACGGTTATCAGGGATCGATAGTTCTCTCTGGTTTAACGCTTTAATAATTCGCAATCTTAGGTTGAGTGAAGTAAGCGACGTTTCTGAACAGCTGAGTGCCAATCTACTAGCGGGTTGGGAACGAAACGATTCCCACTGGGTACGAATCAACAGAGTACGAAAGGCCTGTGTGCTGCATTTTGTTGCTATAGAAACGAACAACGCTTCCTTTTGTTGTAAGAAAGGAACAACGCTTTCCGAATCGTTACTCAAACATATCTCAGTTCTGAACAAACGATCGATTTCTGTGCAGTCGAAGTCTTCATGGCAATGTCATAAACAAAGATAAAGTTTCTCAAGCCTTTAACGAAAAGTCTGTGGTACGAAACGAGTGAAAAAAAAAAACCGCTTCATTTTGTTGTTAGAAACGAACAATGCTTTTAGAATCTTCATGGTGTTGTCGGAAACAAATGGCGCTTTAATAAAAAAGATTTCTCGTTTAATTGTCTAATTACAGTCTGAAAATCTGATCTTTTAAATTATTTGATTCTACGGCCGCCGACTTTTTTCGGGCAACACGACACAGGTTCCGGGCGTCATGACTTCGGGCGACTCGACCGTAAACCATTCAGATCTATCGCTTAACCGTTTCAACTGTTTCTATCAATTACTTTCTATCGCTTTATGCATCGACTTAAATTTGCTGTTAGTTTCGGATCTCGAATTACGTTTGTAAGTGTGTCTTACTGTCTAGTTTTGGGTAACCTTAACTAGAAATGCATCGAGTGCCTCGGCTGTCAAACAAACTTACCTTGGTAACTGTTCTCCACACTGAAGGGGGCAGGGCCGTGGAATTTCTCGGCAGTTGTCCTCGTGGCTAGCAAGTGTCGATCTCTCCACTCCTATGTGGCAATGAAAGCAAGGGACTTTTTCAAAGGGGCAGGATGCTATGTGCAGGTTCAGCGCATACCTCTCTGGTTTAACCAAGCAGCCACGAGGTCCATTGGGGCAGTCAATAACCATGAAGGGGCAAGTGTCCATGTGCGTTTCCTTCTCGCTATGCATTCCAACCCAGGAGCAGCCGACATTAGTGCAACGCACCTGGATTCTTCCAATCAAAGTGCTAACTGTTACGTTAACGTTTAACTTGTCCCCTTCGATCCTTGCTCGACAGAGCGGGCAGGTGCAAGGTCTCGAGCCAATGCTCTGTTTGGAGATCATCTCCAGAAGGCAGGTCTTACAAGCACTGTGCCCGCAAGGCATGGATACGGGCTGATTCATCAACTCCTTACTGGAATGAAACAGAACCGACAAAAAAATTGTAGTTTGTGCAAAAAAAAAAAAAAGTGCCAAAAATTTGAACTGCAATGCGTAACAAGTCAAAGCAAACGGTGCCATAGTCCAAAGATGAAATCGTTTGGAGTAGCCGAGAAATTTTGCAGGTAGCGTTTTTTCGTTGTTGAGAATTTTTGATAGTAGCTTTTTATTGTTGTTGTTGTTGTTCCAATTTGAATAACATCTTTCTTTAACAATATACTTGCCAGTCTACTTCAAGTTCTGGTGGGTTAGGTTCAAATAAAACTACAACGATTTGTGCCTTCATAGAGCGTTTCTCGTTAATTCCTTCCTCGCAATGTTCAATTTAACTCGAAATTGAAATGCCAAAACTCGAACACCGAATGACTCAGAACTCCAACTTCAAAAAGGAAAAAAGTAGCCTTACCATATCGGACATAGTAAGCTTTGGTCCAGGACATCTCCAGGCTCGGTTGCGACGTTAAAGGAACTTAGGCCAGACATTGTAGGTATAAATCGGAAAATCGACGTAAGGACTGCACACAGTAAATTTTCGTCACCGGAGCAAAATGAAAATGACACGTCAAGTAAGTTATGGATTCTTAATAAACCTTTACTTGGGATTCATCACCATGGTGATATAATGTCGCATTTCCGTTATGCCAATTAGCGCAAATGACCATGTCACGCCCCCGAGAATGAGATAATGCGAACAGTTTAGTAATAGCAGGTAGGAGATGAATAATTTTGCTATTTTATTTAAGAAAATAACAAAAACATAGTTGTCTGACAAGCCTCTGAGGAAGCTACAAAAGGTGGTCATGAACAGAGAAGATGAGCTCGAGGTTTGGTTCAGCCAAATGAGGACTTTAACAACTCGAACAAAGATAGTTTCAAGTCAAGGAACAATAAACAATTAACTTCAGTGACACATCCCTAAGAGAGTTTTATAGAGACAATTATACAATTGAAAATCAATAACATCATGTTTTAAGTAACTTTAAAAAAATTGACAATTTGAATCTTACATGTAAAACTGGTGGTTAGAGTTTAACATTAAAAATTTGGTTGTTGCAAGCTTTAATTCAATGTACAATGTAAAAATTTTAGACTTCTTAATCTGTGTTTAAAACCTAGATTGAGTAACAAAGTTTAAAAGAATCGTCCAACTGGTTGCATGAGGAAACCATTCAATAATTAATTGTTCTCTGTCCAAATGCTGTTTTAAAAAGTAGGATGTTTAGAAGGCGAGAGCTACGAGTTGTCCTGCGAGATATATCTCCTCTGTTTTCAAATAGTCTGGTGCATATGCAGTCATGAAATTTCAATCGGAACAACAAATTTTTCAACATCTCTTGGGCGGCGCTTAAAGTCTTATGAAATGCCAAAAAATAGTTATTAAAGCGGTCGACAAAGCCGGCGCTGTGGTCGTTTGGCGGGCCGACCTCAACAAAAGAGAAGCGTCAAATCTTTGAAACCTATTTTTATGCAAAACTTTAAAAAAATCTCACCTACAGAGAACAAAAACTGTCCAAAGCACTGTGACAACCTTCTAGCAAAACAAGAACTGCCACAAATTTAATCATCACAAATCTTCAAAAAGGGCGCATTTTTTTTTCTTTTAACCAAAAAATCACAAACCCAACAACCCTGGTCGACCCATCGTTTAAGCCTGCAGTTGCCCCACCAAACAGATCTCTACCTATTTATACTCTGGGAAAAGAGAAATCACATGGAGACATATCAGTCTGGCCTAAGCTATGTAACCTTTTTTTTTAACTGAATGTAAAGCTTTGTCTCTGAGCAGATCTTTAGGCTTCCTGACCATGAAAAACAAACTAAGGATATAGGGATGACCAAGCTTGCATAACTTACACTCTTGTGGGAGTTTTGGGTGAAAGAACCGCGCGAATGAGCGGCGAAGTAACGGAGAGAATGTGAAGGAATAAACTAACGCTCGGCCGCATAAATCTTAATTGAACGAAAAACCATTTATTCACGCAAGCTATAGACATACAGAAGTCCTTTTCAATTCAAGAAGTCACCATTTCCACCTCCCCTTCCCTCTACCCGCCTCCACCACCCCCTCTCCTCCCCTTATTCTTTTTCCCCTCCCATACTAGGCACACGGCTAGAAATCATGTCCTCGCTAGCTTTGAAACAGGAAAAACCAAATATATTTTTGAATTTTTCTCTTCACCATAGTTTTTAATATTATCTCTTCCCCTTGATAGTCTTATATCGAGCATGATCTGCACTTCCCCCTCCCCCCTCATCATGTTTTAAGTTACTTTAAAAAAATTGATAATTTTAATCTTACATGTAAATCTGGTGGTTAGAGTTTAACATTAAAATTTGGTTGTTGCAAGCTTTAATTCAATGTATAATGTAAAAATTTTAGATCTAGATGTCTAAAAAGCTGGTGGTTGTAAGCTTAAGGACTAGGACCGCAAGATTCGTTCCAGGTGCTGACTTCTTAATCTGCGTTTAAAATCTAGATTGAGTAACAAAGTTTAAAAGAATCGTCCAACTGGTTGCATGAGGAAACCATTCAATAATTAATTGTTCTCTGTCCAAATGCTGTTTTAAAAAGTAGGATGTTTAGAAGGCGAGAGCTACGAGTTGTCCTGCGAGATATATCTCCTCTGTTTTCAAATAGTCTGATGCATATGCAGTCATGCAATTTCAATCGGAACAACAAATTTTTCAACATCTCTTGGGCGGCGCTTAAAGTCTTATAAAATGCCAAAAAATAGTTATTAAAGCGGTCGACAAAGCCGGCGCTGTGGTCGTTTGGCGGGCCGACCTCAACAAAAGAGAAGCGTCAACTCTTTGAAACCTATTTTTATGCAAAACTTTAAAAAAATCTCACCTACAGAGAACAAAAACTGTCCAAAGCATTGCGAACGGCCTTCTAGCGAAACAAAAACTGCCACAAATTTAATCATCACAAATCTTCAAACAGTGCACATTTCTTTCTTTCTTTTAACCAAAAAATCACAAACCCAACAACCCTGGTCGACCCATCGTTTAATCCTGCAGTTGCTCCACCACACAGATCTCTACCTATTTATACTCTGGGAAAAGAGAAATCACATGGAGACATATCAGTCTGGCCTAAGCTATGTAACCTTTTTTTTAACTGAATGTAAAGCTTTGTCTCTGAGCAGATCTATAGGCTTCCTGACCATGAAAAACAAACTAAGGATATGGGGATGACGACGCTTGCATAACTTACACTCTGGTGGAAGTTTTGGGTGACAGAACCGCGCGAATGAGCGGCGAAGTAACGGAGAGAATGTGAAGGAATAAACTAACGCTCGGCCGCATAAATCTTCCTTGAACGAAAAAAAACATTCAGTCACGCAAGCTATAGACATACAGAAATCCTTTTCAATTCAAGAAGTCATCATTTCAAACCCCCCCTTCCCTCTACCCGCCTCCACCACCCCCCCCTTATTCCTTTTCCCCTCCCCCTTATTCCTTTCCCCACCCCCCCACCCCCATATTAGGCACACGGCTGGAAATCATGTCCTCGCTAGCTTTGAAACAGGAAAAACCAAATATTTTTAAAAATTTTTCTCTTCACCATAGTTTTTAATATTATCTCTTCCCCATGATAGTCTTATATCGAGCATGATCCGCACTTCCCCCCCCCCTCCCCCTGCCAGAAAAATATATATCGAGCTCAGTTGCCCGGGAACAAATATTATTCAGCTCGGTCGGACGCGAGCTCGATTTGATTCGAGCGCGATTACCAAATCGAACTCGATTTGATTCGAGCTCGATTACAAAGGTTGTGACTCGAGCTCGGGTAGGCTTTCGAGCTCGAGTCACTTATATCGAGCTCGGTTGCTCAGGATCCTTCTAGTCGAGTTGTGACTCGAGCTCGGATAGGCTTTCGAGCTCGAGTCACCTATTTCGAGCTCGGTTGCCCAGAAACAAATATTGATCCGAGAAAGACTGGGAAAGAGTCAAACACTGATTGAGGAGGACGATGACAGGTAGTGTTGTTGCAAGAACCTTGGTCATTAGGTGAGTATTTCGTAAGTTTTCGTTAAATTTCAGAGATAGCATTCAAAGGGAAGGTGTAAAAGGAAATGGGAGCAAATGTATTGGAAACAGAAATTTTCCCAAAGCACGAAAACCCCAGGTCAGGTGTAGTCATTTCGGGTATAGAAGGATAAACTTAAACTTAAACTTAAACTTCGCTGGAATGGGACTTAATACAGACAAGAACAAACTTTTGGTAATCCTTAGTTTATTGTAAAATGTAAAATTTTTATGGTTAACTACGCAGGGGAATACTTGTGTCACTTTTAGATAAACTTGTGTCACTTTTAGATGAACGTTCAGTGATATATGTATACTTTTTTAAAAACAAATAAAACAACTTCTGGTTTAGAGCAAGATTTTATAAACCATTCAACCACTGTGCAACGCAATTCCTTTCCTTCTTACCAAACTAACCAAAAGTAGCAACCTTTTAAAGCAAACTTGTATCTCGAAAACCTCGAGCTGGAGGTAATACTTCTGAGCAAAGTAATATGGGTACTAAACTGTGTTTTTCAAACTCTCATTCCTAATGACAAAACACTCAGCTGAATATTTAGGCTTGCAGCTTGGGAAAAGTACTTAATTGCTTGTAAACATGAGGATTTTTGTCTGTCACTGGATGTTCCTTTGGCCTTAGCGAGTTGCAAAATGTTGAGTTGTCTCACTATTAAAATGTAGCCTTGGTGACATCTAGCCCATCTACACTGACAACTAACAAGGAATTCTGAGGCATCCAGAATTAGATCTTTAGGGCTTAAGAGGCCATCTCTCTTATTTCCACCCTGCCAATTTCACCTTAAACTCTGTCAACAGAAAGACTATACTTAGGGAAGAACTAAGTTAGATTTGGTTTGATTTGAAATAATTTTCTGGCTGCATTAGGGGCCATAATTATTTCACCAGTTGGTAGGGACTATCACAACATCTCGGAAATTGAATAATACGCATATTTTGTAACATTGTAAAATATTTGATTTGCATAGTTAAGCCACGACATTTATATTAGATCCCTTAACAACCTTTCTAGTTTGCTAAGAAAGTTAGAATTTCCCTCTCCATATATTTGAAAAGGCAAACTTTAACATATTCTGACCCCTATATATCAGGGAAAATTATTTTTGACATGAAATTGACCGGGTGGAAATAAGAGAGACAACCTCTTAAGTATTTCAATTTTTTTTTCTTTGTAAGAGATAGTGATGATCCTTTAGTCAAGATCTTAGCAGAAAATCCTTCCAGCCTTATTGATAACTTTTTAACTCCCAGAAGTGATTGACATGTAACTTCTCCCTATTAATAACACTTATACATCATTTAGCAAACAGGTGATGAGAATATTCAAACTTATCAGGTAGAAGTTGTCATCTTGATCAAAACACCAAATTCTTGTAACTAATACACAAGGAAATATGCAGCAGCTAGAAAGGAGAATTAACAATCAGATCTTG